CCCTTTCTGCTTAGATCTGCAACGTCCTGAAAATCATTTTATTTCCTTAAAATAAAAATCATGATATCTTCTTTTTTCCAAAGTAGTTTTTTTCCCTTATGTGTGAAACCATCATTAATTCCTTAATGTTAAGAGATTTTTTTTTTTCAAAATCATTCAAGAAACCTTATGGTAATAATATATTCTGCAGATTTTCCTCATTTCATTTCTATTACCTAATTTTATGCACTAATTGATTTCAAAGTTGTAAGCTTTTCTCTCTCTAGGGTTCTTGAATCTTTAAACCTCACTTTGAAATCTGAAATTTTTCCTCTATGGTTTAATCTTGTGTTTGACTTTTTTTTTTGTGTTCTTGAAATTGTTTTCAGATTGGCTGCTTTGATGGATTCATAAGCTTGCATTTATGGGATTTGATAGATTGTCAATAAAGGAAAAATTGTGGTTATGGATTCTCGAGGTGACAGTTCCAGGTTCGGACAATATCCAACAAAACCTATTAGGAACATGTCTTCATCTTCATCAGCTGCTTTCTTCTCAGCTAATCAGTCTCCTTTCTTCTCTCCAAGATCTCCCAAAATCCCACAAGAACTATCCGAATCCACTCGCTCTGATGCTCATTGTGATAGCTTCGATCCTCCCCTTAGCTCCAGCTCCGGTTTCCAAGACGCCGCACCGAATATCATCGAGCCTGATCGAATAGCTTCGAGTAGTGTGATCTCTTACACACCTTCTAGATATGGAAGAGGGCATGAATCTTCATCGTATACTCAGACATCTTCGGTCTCTGTTTCTTATAATAGGCTTAGATGTTGTGATGTGTTTGTTGGATTGTACGGTCAGAAGCCTTCTTTGCTTCGGTTTGCGGATTGGCTTAGAGCGGAATTGGAGTTTCAAGGGATGAGTTGTTTCATGTCGGATAGAGGACGGTGTAGGAGTTCTAGGAAACAGAGGATAGTCGAGAGAGCGATGGACGGTGCTTCGTTCGGGGTTATAATTCTAACGAGGAAGGCTTTCAAGAATCCTTACACGATCGAGGAGTTACGGTTTTTTGCAAACAAGAAGAATCTGGTTCCGGTTTTCTTCGATTTATCTCCCGGAGACTGTCTTGTGAGAGATATAGTTGAAAAGAGAGGAGATTTGTGGGAGAAACATGGTGGGGAGTTGTGGCTTTTGTATGGAGGGATTGAGAAAGAATGGAAAGAGGCGGTTCACGGGTTATCGCGGGTTGATGATTGGAAGCTTGAAGCTCATGAAGGTAACTGGAGAGATTGTGTATTCAGGGCGGTTACGTTATTGGCAATGAGGTTAGGGAGGAGAAGTATTGTTGAGCGGTTGTCGAAATGGCGGGATAAAGCAGAGAAGGAGGAATTTCCTTATCCGCGGAACGAGAATTTTGTTGGTCGGAAGAAGGAACTATCCGAGCTAGAGTTCGTTTTATTTGGAGATGTTGCTGGAGATTCGGAAAGGGATTACTTTGATTTGAAGGCTAAACCGACAAGAAGGAAGAAAAATGTGACGCTCGGGTGGAATAAAAGCAGTTCAGTGGAAGAAAGACGGAAGAAAGGCAAAGAGAAAGTTGTGTGGAAGGAGTCGGAAAAGGAGATAGAGATGCAAAGTACGGATTTACCATCGCGGAATCAAGTAAAGTTAGGACGAAACACGAGGAGAAAACGGTCTATGAAGGTTGTTTACGGGAAAGGCGTGGCTTGCATCTCGGGTGAATCGGGGATTGGAAAAACTGAGCTGCTTCTTGAATTTGCTTACCGGCATCATCAGAGGTATAAGATGGTTCTTTGGATAGGCGGTGAGAGCCGTTACATTAGACAGAACTATCTGAATCTTTATCAGTATTTGGAAGTCGATGTCGGGATAGAGAATTGCTCTGATAAAACACGGATGAAGAGCTTCGAAGAGCAAGAAGACACTGCGATTTCTAGAATCAGAAAAGAGCTGATGCGGAATATACCGTTCTTGGTTGTGATTGATAACTTGGAGAGCGAAAAGGACTGGTGGGATTCAAAGCTTGTGATGGATCTTCTTCCTCGGTTTGGAGGCGGGACTCACATTTTGATATCTACGCGTCTCTCCCGAGTTATGAACATGGAGCCATTGAAACTCTCTTACCTCTCTGGTGCTGAAGCTATGTTGTTAATGCAGGGGAACGTTAAAGATTACCCGGTTTCAGAAATGGATGCGTTGAGAACGATTGAAGAGAAACTCGGGCGGTTAACGTTGGGATTAGCGGTAGTGGGAGCTATTTTGTCAGAGCTACCTATAAACCCGAGCCGGCTTTTGGATACTATAAACAGAATGCCGTTAAGAGAGATGGTATGTAGCGGTCGGGATGGGAATCTGTTGAGAAGAAGCACGTTTCTGTTGCAGTTGTTTGAAGTGTGTTTTTCGATATTTGATCACGCGGATGGACCAAGAAGTCTGGCTACGAGAATGGTTGTTGCAAGCGGGTGGTTGGCTCCAGCACCGGTTCCAGCCTCTCTATTAGCTTTGGCTGCTCATAAACTCCCTGAGAAACACCGAGGTCCGAAGCGGCTATGGAGAAGACTGAGACGCGCAATAACCTGCGGTTTTACGTCATCTAACTCAAAGCGATCAGGAGCTGAAGCTGCTTCTATGCTACTTAGATTCAACATTGCGAGAACCAGCAGCATCAAGCTAGGGTTTATACAAATTCACGAGCTCGTGAAACTCTATGCGAGAAATCGAGTACTGGTGAACGAGAACGCCCCTGCAATGGTTCAAGCAGTGATAAACCGCGGCTCGGCCGTTGAAACGGCAGAGCAGATCTGGGCGGTTTGTTTCTTGCTATTCGGTTTCAGCAACGAAGCTCCTACTCTTCAGCTAAAGATTACTGAACTTCTGATTCTTGTAAAGCAAGTAATCTTGCCTCTAGCAATTAGAACGTTCATAACATTTTCACGGTGCAGCGCAGCGGTAGAGCTACTAAGAGTCTGCACAAACGCTCTTGAAGCGGCCGACCAAACGCTAGTGACGCCAGTCGAGAAGTGGCTAGACAAGTCGCTTTGCTGGAGACCGGTACAGACAAGTGCGCAGCTAAACCCTATCCTATGGGAAGAACTAGCCCTAGCTCGAGCCACTGTGCTAGAGACTCGAGCTAAGCTGATGTTACGAGGTGGGCAGTTCGGTGTAGCTGATGATCTGATTAGAAAAGCGATCTTTATAAGGACTTCGATCTCAGGAGAGGATCATCCTGGGACTGTATCGGCTCGAGAGACATTGAGTAAGTTGACTAGACTTTTATCTAATGTTCATCAGATTCATAACTCTTCACCGTAATAGATAAGTTTTTAGGACTTTCTTGTTGTAAAAGTTATAAAGTTAGAG